TGATTCTAGGTACATAGCATCCAAATATATAATTAGTTAGGTATGTAATAATGGATTGTGAAATAAAGTTAAATTTGAGTTGTTTTGTTGCTAGGTATAGGTATGAATCGAATACTTATAACTAGGTATATACTCACAATTTGAAAATTTTGAAAAATTTGGACGAATTTGTGTATTTCATACCATGGTGCCCGGGCACCATGGTGCCCCATATGAGTGTCCTATATATATATATATATATATATATATATATATATGTATATATATATATGTATATATATATGTATATATATATATATAGTGTGTCCCGTAGAATCAATATAGATATGCCACCACCTCAATTTATCAATAGCATTTTTTTATAGCAGAATTTATAAATCAATGTTTAAAATCACCTGCTGATAATACTACCAATTAAGACCATCATAAAGTTACTCACCATTGCATTGTTTTTATGATAGCAGAGCAATATAAATTAAACATCACCTTGATTAATTCACAGTACTCCGTTTTTATAAATTTTGTTTTGATAAAGTGATCAAAATATGCCTACATAGGATGTTTCCCCATGGAAAAGTAACACAATTGACTCAATTCAATCAAACTTTTGAAATTTAACCATCAACGGCTCCTAAATGTTTTTAGTCTAGAAACATAAAAACGATGTGTGTAGATTTTTTTTATAGGTACTTTCATAATATTATAGTTTTGCTTCATCTAAGAATTACATTCTAATAAAAATAGTGGTCAAAAGTTACACACCCAAACCAAATAAATCAATAGTGTCATATATTCAAATATGGACGCAGTAATATTTTAAAAAGAATAAATTTTTGAAAACCCCATATTTTATAGCCAGAGTTGCAAAAAGAAAAACTAAGTATTATAATTGGTATTTACATAACTTCAGATATTATGGATCTAAAGTTTAACAAGACTCCACGCCTATACTTGTTGAGTATAAATTTACTTAAATTTTTAAAATAGAATGTGTATGAACTTTTATGTTATTGAGCTCTTGACAGAGATTGGTAGTTTTACTCTTTGTTACATTGAAAAATATTGTTTCAAATATACTAAAATTAACTTAGATTTGAATATATGCAAAATTTATAAAATATTTAAATAATTAAATATGTGATTATGTGCCATGAGTCATAATATATAACTAATATAAATATTCGTATTTTTCCTTTCGTCACATCTATTTTCGTCCCGTTCATCCACGTACGCAATCCGATTCGGTTAGCAATAGCCATGGAAAAAAATTGAAAAAAAAAAATCGGCGGCCGCCGACGCCACCACCGCCGCTGGAGGAAGAAGAGAGGCAGAGGAGGGAGCACCGCCGCCGGATCCGCCCGCGGTGGCCGCCACCGCCGACGGATCCACCCTCAGACGACGCCGACGCTGTCGTTGCCGTCGACGCCGCCGTTGAGAGGGCGCCGTCACCGTCGAGGCCGACGGGGAGAGGGAGAGGGAGGGAGGGGGAGGGACGGCCGTCTCTGCCGCACCCCGCCGTCGTTGCGCCGTGTCGGCGAGACGGGAAGGAGAGCCACTGCCGCCACCGCCGCTAGCGTGGGGAAGGTCGCCACCGCCGCCACAGCTAGCGTGGGGGAAGTGCGCCGTCTCTGCCACACCCCGCCGTCGCCGCGCCGTGCCAACGAGAAGGGAGGGTTAGGGTTTTCATAAGGCCGTGGGCCAACCGGCAAGGGACGGAAATAAGTCTATTTTACATCCCTCGGGCCGAAGAAAAAGAGAAGTTCATTTTTAGTACTTCATTTTTTCAGAAGTATTACAATTATAGTTATTGAATGTGTTTATTTCGAAGCAAACCTAAAAGGAAGTATTTTTATTCTTCTTCCAATTAAATAATTGTTAAATGTTATTTGTATTATTAAAATTAGCAATTAAGCTCTGAAAATTCCAATAAAATTTCAAAGAGCGTAATTAATCATAGAGAATTTAATAAAATTAAATTTAACCATGTTATTTTATTTCTCACACTTGCTTGACTTATAAATTTATTTAATTATACACATACCTAATTAAAAATATCAAATATTTCAGCGAATTTGTATTTTAATTAATTGCATATTTTTCTAATATGTACGCTTCCCGTTGCAACGCACGGACACTTTTGCTAAACCAAACAACACTTTTGGTCAATATACATACTCCGTAATCAACCAGTGCAACGCACGGGCACTTTTGCTAGTAATATATGAAATAACGAGATTGTCATCGATTCGGTTCAGCACAAACTGAGTTGGGCTTTGGCCCACCCCTACAGGCCTACGGAGAGTAGACAGTAGACCCTATGAACGGCCCAGTACTACGGTACCCACTGACTGCAAAGATCTCAGAGAAGATTGCTAATTAATTATTGCACGAACTCGGAAAATATTCTGATGTTCTAATAACCCTGCATCGGAATTGCTTGAGGACTATCGACAGTTTTCTTGAGTGAAAACTGTTAAATTTTTTAGCCGTCGATTTCGTTTTAAGATTTGTACTGAGATATTTTACTATTAGATATAAACCCTCTTTTCACAAGCTAGTCCCATCATTGCATGTTTACGGTAGATTTGTTCAAGTTATATCTAAGTTACATTCCAATTACATGCTAGTTACATTGTAGTTACACTATATTTACATTGTAACTATAGTGTAACTACACTATAACTATATTGTTATCTCTATATAAATTACATATAAAGTTGCATATATTATTTTAGGCAACATATCCTATGCACACAGGCCCTCACGGGTACACACGTGCACACCAACTAAAAAATGTCACCAAAAACTCTAGAAAAAATCATACACATACTTTCAATTGTATTACACCTAGGGTTAAAATCTTAATGTCAAATTCATTATATTTTAGCCGTAACAAAAAAAAACAAAAAATCTGACAGTTTTAAGGTTGCAATTTTGTCAGAATTTTATCTTTTTTGTTATTCTCTATGTAGAATGAATTTGAAGATGCGACTTTGCACGTAGATGTAATACTATTGAAAGTACATGTATGAATTTTTCTAGAATTTTTTGTGATAATTTTTAGTTGGTGTACACGGTGTGTACACGCGAGTGCCTGTGTGCATAGGATACACTCCCATTATTTTAATACATATATATATAAGTTATTATTATTATAGTATAGTTATAGTGAAATTATATACTATAGTTAAATTTGAAAGTTTTCCCCTCAAAAAACACTCGACACTTTTTTAAGCTTTGGGACCAGATGAATCTGCTGATCTAAGCCACAGTAAATCTGACGAAACAACAAGCTATCAACCAGGTGCATTATTTTTCACCAATGCATTATTGTCCGCTTATAGATAATGGATGGGCTCACGGCATGTTTCCTAAATTCCTAAATTTACGATTTTGTACAAAACTTCTGCATCAGTATCTCTTAGGAATCTGTCTAAACAAACTTTCAACTTTTCAATATTTAGTTATTTCATCTCCGCTCTCGAATAATTATCATAACCTTTAGTTTCACCCATAATCCATCATCCACCAGAATTTTGGAGCATACCCCTTATGATGGAACTGGTCACACCATATTTTCTTATCTCACTTTTCTTTCTTCACAACAAAAGCCAAGCATCAGGAATTATACAACACAACACACTCTAGATGAGAAGCTAATTCATGTTACAGTTACACACACCAATGGAAGAGGAAGAGGAAGAGGAAGAAGAAAGAAATATTATTGTGGGGGGAGATCTACAATGCTGTGTATTGTGACTGACCACACCCTTGCTAACCTGGGTACCTGTGTCCTCTGCAGAGCACCTAGATATTGTCCTCATTTCATACAACTCATCCAGCTCAACAGCCATCACCAGCTGTTCTCTGTGTATTTCTTCAGGGCACGTACCGTCATCACCAGCTGCTGCCTCTCGCCTTCGACTTCCGCGAATTTCAGGCTTATCTCTGAGTACGGCCCGTGCAGTTCTTTCAGCTCTTCCTCTAGTGCAGTGTTCCGCGCCTTTACCGACTGATCATGAGCTGCATTCTACATTGATTGATAATTGCCACCAGCAAAGTCTGTCAGCAATGGACCATGTGGTACTGAATTATAGAAAGGTAAAGCTTTGCTACAGCTCCCGGTGGCTCCGTCGTATGCTTGATGTGCGTTATAGAAGCTGTTTTAAAAAATCAAATTAATTTATTTTTAAATATATAATAGTTAAAATTTAATTAATTATGTGTTATCGAGCTTACTCATTTTGCATGCGCACAAAATTTTCCTCATTTTTTTGAAGCATCGAACGGGGCCTAAGAAGAAGAAGATATGCATTGAGAGGGCGTCCTCTAGGAGGCGATGCTCCTCAAGCTCGAGCAACCGGCATCAGTGGATATGACAATGTTGCTGGCACCAAGAGAGAAAATGGAGCTGGAAATATATATACGCTTGATATAAGTTGCGCAGTGATAGTCGATAACGACTATTTAAAAACAGGCGGAGTGACTGTGACGTTCAAACGAAACAACATTTAAATTAAGTTAAGCTTGACAAATGTTGATGTGTAAAAAGTGTTGAGTGTCCACGAGAAAACAAAAAAGATGACTAAATGAACTAGCTCCCACGGATGCCTGCGTGCAATCTTGTATCTGCTTGGACGATTTTCTTGGGTTCGATCCTGTTCTTGTGTTGTGATCCAATTAATTTGGCAGAGACCAATTTGCTGCACGTGTACGTCTCGATCCACTGTTACTAGTCAAAAAGACCCATATATATATGTAAAAATACGAGTATCCAAAATGCACGAATCTGAGGATCCATGTCTCTTTCTTCTTCATTCATTCTTCCTCCGTTCAGCTAGAACAGTTGTAGCATTAGTACCGTTATGGTAAAGTCTAAACTATACATATATTAATTTATTTTGGTATCAAGAGAGTACACGAAACGGTCTGCTTTCTGCAACACTTCTCATCTATAAAAACCCGAGGCGTGCATCCTTCCCCTATACCACATTCGATCACATTCGGCTAGTAACCAAGCGGTTCTTAAGCTAGCTAGCTCGAGCAATGGCCAAGTGGACGGCTGCGATGGAGATGCTTCTGCTGGTGGCGGTGGCGGCGGCAGCTGTGGCGGTGGTGGTGGCGCAGGCGCCGCCGCCGCCACAGTGCGACCCCGGGCTGCTGTCGCCATGCGCGGCCCCGATCTTCTTCGGGACGGCGCCGTCGGCGTCGTGCTGCTCTAGCCTGAAAGCACAACAGGGGTGCTTCTGCCAGTACGCGAAAGACCCGACGTACGCGTCCTACATCAACAGCACCAATGCACGCAAGATGATCGCCGCCTGCGGCATCCCCTTGCCCAACTGCGGCTAGGCTCCATCGCCGCCGTTTGCCGGTGCTGGCCATGATGTGTGGCAGCATATATAAATATATGCTGCCCTATGTCCTTGTAAAAAATAAAGGACGATGTCTAGAAGCATATATATATGGTGTACTGCGTACTTGAATAAAATAAAGGATGTGTGTTTGAATACATAAATTACCGATCGATTAATGCACCCGTGTTTGATCGATCGATGAGGTGTCTTCTGGGATTTAAGTTTGAGTTTCTAATATCCAATCTCGTGGGAGCGTGAAATACTACTTTAAGAGTTAATAAGTATTCTAAGATGATTTGTGTTTTCAAGTTTGTCTATCGATCTCTCAACTCAAATTTCTCATACACATAATCGTCCAAAAATTTGAACACTTGGATCGTATGGACTATAGATAGAGCAACCGTCTGATCAAAACCACGATGAGCTATATGCACTTCTCTTCACGTCTGTAAACTGTAGTGCGTGCTGGAAACGCATGCGCCAAATATAGCAGTTCTGGATTGTGTGAATATGTGTATGTGCATCCAATTTGCATGGAGAAAAAAAATCCACTCTTCCTCAGTCTTCAAAGAGTGTTCCGTACTTCTCGAAAAGGAAAAATATACTCTCTTTTTTTTCATCGAAATTTATCCAACTGTCAACCTTTTTCACCACCATAACTTTACTGGTGGTCTTATGTCCACCTAAAGAACAGGTAATGTATTCACATCTTGAGCATTCAAAATTTATTCCAAGATTGAGCTTTCCACATAATTCTGTATCTCAGCAAGTTACAACTATCTTTTATTTAATTTCTCTGCATACTTGTTCATCTCAACCAGTAACAACCATCTAATCCATGTCCCTTCCTCTCTCACCGATGGTGAGGACTGGCGGCGGTGGCAGACTTGGTGGACAGCAGCGTTGGGCGGGGATCGATGGGGGCTAGTTCGATGTCCCTTTCCCTGTCACCTTCGGACTTCAATCCTTAGTGAGTCCCTATGATGTATGTTATCTGCTAGCCCTGCTCGCTCACATGTCCACCCCCTTCATTGGTCCGACTACCATCGTCGCATGCCTCTCTATTGTTACCGAGACCTTAAAAATCAAACCGTATCATCACCCTTTTAATAATTTTTAGAAGTTTCGCCAGTCGTTAGCACCCTTCTGCTTGTTTGTTTTATGTCACTCCTCTTCGTTGACATCACAATCTTTAAAAGTCAAAGGTTTGATTTTTATAGTTTTTAGGTGCCTTGCCTATGGCCACCTTCCTATTGTTTTGCCACGTGCACCTCTACTTCCCTACCACCCACCCCTTCTCTTTGTTGTCATCATCACCTTCATCAGGGTTCCGCTCATCCACCCCTTCTCTTCCTTATCATCATTTTCGTCAGGGTTCCGCTCGCTAGACCGCTTCCCCTCCAATTTGTTTTCATTGGCAACTTAAACAATCGAACCTTATTATTGTCGCCTCATCCCTACTCATTTGCCACCCCTCTGCCTGCTGCTACTCTTCTTAGTTATCGTTGGCACTTTGCAAATTCGAGTTTTATCATTGCAAGGGCTCCATTGTCGTTGTCTTACTCCTTTGTCACACCTTGGCTCACCCTCCCATGGCAAACACCGTCTCCCTACTATTTTCTCGCCCTTTCGCTCACCTATCTGTGGCCCGCCCTTTGTTATCGCTGACACATAACAAAATTCAAGGTGTTCCCTCTGTATCGAACAGTAAGGTGCTGTGTTGGAGCCTCAAGCCCATGTGTGATGAACTCGACCACATTTTTTTTCCACGTTACCTTGGCTAGTTTTAGTACTACTGACGAGGTAGGTATTAGACCGTAGTCGGCCTACTATAGAATACTCTCGTACAAAAAATTATGTAAAATAAATTGTTCTAGGTAAACATAATAAATTAAATTATTGATTTGGAAAAGGTACGATTGATGGTATATAAAATATCACTTACATGTCTACATACATATCGGATGTATCTATGAGATTATAGAAGATTAATTTACAAAACCAATCTACTAATTACCCGGCCCATGCGTACGTACTCTTTGGAGATAATGAAGTTTCTAGGTACACTTGTGAGTACACATAGCAAAGGGGAACTTAGGTGGCAATCATACTCTATTTATACCGTATACGTTCGAAAAGCCTAATGGGCGATCAATCACCCCGAGTGATTACCCCCTCCTCCATGTGGTTTTTTTTTTAGAACCGCATTACTTTCCTATTTTAGTAAATTTATGCACCTAAAGTATGAACATATAAAGTTTACACATCTAAAGTTTATACACCTAAAGTTTAGAGACCCAAAGTTTATATATCTAATTCAAAATTAAATTTGAATTCAAATATTTTTATATTTAGTATTTTCTAAACATCTAAAGTTTATACACCTAAAGTTTATAAACCCAAAGTTTATAAGTCTAAAAGTTTATATACCCGATTCAAATTTGAATTTGAATTCAAATATTTTTATATATAGTATTTCTATACATAAGTTTTTCTAATTTTGTGTTTTTTTATTTTTTTTAAAAAAAAATTATGGTGTAGAGACCTAAAGTTTAGAGACCCAAAGTTTATAAGTCAAAATTTTTTATACACGATTCAAATTTAAATTTGAATTCAAATATTTTTTGTATATAGTATTTTCTATACATCTAAAATTTATACACCTAAAGTTTATAGACCCAAAGTTTATAAGTCAAAAGTTTATATATCCGATTTAAATTTGAATTTGAATTCAAATATTTTTTATATATAGTATTTCTATACATAAATTTTTCTAAACTTTGTGTTTTTTATTTTTTAAAAAAAATATGGTGTAGTAGGAAAAGAAGAAGGGGAGAAAGAAGGGAGAGAGGAGCGTGTTAGGGGGGATGGGGGTGAACGCCCACAACAATCACCCACCCATTAGCGACACCCGTGTATGTTTGACTGATCATTTGGCTATAATGCATGCGAGTGTTGGGTTGGCTTCCTGACCACTGTTTGGCCTTGACTATCCATGATGCATGCACGGCGGCTGGTTCCGTGGTCCTTATTCATGCCGTATACTCCTGTGTCCCGTCGATCAATATGAAGCCAATTAGGAGTGGGGATTATCGGTTTGTTAAGCGGTCTACATGTTAAAAGAGACCTAAGGTTGTAATTGTCGCGGTATTGCCGTAGCTCCCTGTCAATTTGCACCACCTCTGTTGTTTAGTTTCAATAGGAAGTTTACGATCTTAGTGCAGTTTTCTCCTCTGTCGATCTTGTTGGATCTTTGCCTTAAGCCATTCCCTTTGGCGATGTACGGGAGCTTGCCTCCTTGATCTGTTGCTTTAATATATGTTTAAGTTTTTTTAAAAAAGATAAGACAAGGAGAGCGGCTATCCCCTGCAGTTGGCAGTACAATGATCGAGGTCTTGTGATCGATAATATTGAACTGATATTCTCCGCACTGGTAGCGTCTTGAAGCTTTTTCGGTCCTAATAGATTGAATTGTCAGACAGTGATGGTTCCGATATAAAGGGGAACATACTTCGGTCGGATATCTCCCAAAGCTAAAGTCATCGGGGTATCCCTCGTCGGAAGATCTTTAGTGGCAATTAATGTCTTGATGAAGATTACAAATAGGCTTTGTGGTTGATATGTTGTTCTCGGCGGGAGTATGTTGGAGGAAATATCGACGACGTAGCAGCAAAGACCGGAAAAGTGATGGATTTGACTTGGAGAAAAGTAAACGTTGGTTGGGTCATATCTCCTAGGCCAGGGCAATCATAGAAGTCGTCATCAGAAAATCTGCCTCGAACTCATCTCGTCAAAATCTTGAAGCACCAAATCCCCTAAACGAATATGATGACGTGTTTCAAGGTTATCTTATAATGATATAATATAATAAATAGTTAGATACCATGAAATTTCTTCATTTAAAGACGACATCAAGCTCTAAGAACAGAGTCCTGATCGTGGTACGTAGATGAATGTTAAGTGCAGCTTTCACTATAGTTCGATGCTGCAGTTTATACAAGGTGTACAAAACTTTGGCTCGATATAGCTACAATGTTTAACATCAATTTGTAGAACCCACCCCAAGCCTTCCATTCTGGTGATGTGGATCCAGAAATAGCCATGATAGACAGCAAATCATGTCAGCCAGTTGCGCGATCCAAGCAGAGATCAGATCCTTGTCCTTGGTGCTATCACGTTCAGTGACTCTGTGGATTAGGTGCAGGACAACATGGATAAGGTTGTGCAACGCAGGTACGAGAAGATGACTAAGTCTGAGTGTCGGGAACTTATCCCTTGCGTACTGAAAACGAAATAAATTTATTAGCACATGATTAATTAATTATTAATTATTTTTTAAAAAATAGATTAATATAAATGTCTCTAACGGCAAGATATACGGACGTATGCATGCAAGTGGAGGGATACATATGTCTGCATATGTCTGTGACGGCAAGATATACGGAGGTACGCATGCAAGCCTCAGTGACGAATTGTGGCTGCAGATTGTTAGCAATACTTTTAGCAGACGTACGCATACAAGCCCATAAATCAGTCACGAATTGAGGCGGCATATTTTAGCAATACTGTTATGGCATGTACAATGCTAGTACTCCTATTTAATAACCGTTCTCTTCGTTGACAAATAAATAAATTTAACGATGTGAAAATCCGCATGTTCGAAATGGCACGACACAATTGGGCAGTGGTACAATACTATGTACAGGAGAAGTAATAGTAATAAAATCTTAGTCAAATTGAGGGGATGGATCCTAATCCCTCGAGAGAATTGAGATATCCTCCCGTGTATCTTTTTTTTCTTTCAAATCCAATATAAATAATTATCAAAAATTATTTAAAAAATCCAATATAAATAATTGTGAAAATTATGAAAAAAAATGATTGTTTAGATTATAGTGATATTTGTTAGTCCACCAAAAATAAGCTCAAATTCGACCTACATGTTAAGGAAAAATTAAATTTAGGTGTAAACAGTATATTGTTATTCAAACACTGAATTTATCCGTTTATATCTTTGACATGTAAGTTGAGTTTGGACCTAAGATTTCACGGAATGATGTATAAATGTTGTATGAGTGTTTCCAAAATTTTTAGAATTTTTTATAACTGATCAAAAGGTTTTTAAACAAACAAGGGAACATCTCTTTCCCCTCGAGAGATCAAAATATATAGTTTCCCGTAGAATCAATATAGATATGCCACCACCTCAATTTATCAATATCAGAATTTTTTTTTATTTATAGCAGAATTTTTAAATCAATGTTTAAAATCACCTGCTGATAATACTACCAATTAAGACCATCACAAAGTTACTCACCATTGCATTGTTTTTGTGATAGCAGAGCAATATAAGTTAAACATCACCTTGATTAATTCATACTCCGTTTTTATAAATTTTGTTTTGATAAAGTGATCAAAATATGCCTACGTAGGATAATCCCCCATGGAAAAGTAACACAATTGACTCAATTCAATCAAACTTTTGAAACTTTAACCATCAACGGCTCCTAAATTTTTTGAGTCTAGAAACATAAAAATGATGTGTGTAGATTTTTTTTATAGGTTCTTTCATAATATTATAGTTTTGCTACATATTAGAATTATATTCTAAGAAAAATAGTGGTCCAAAGTTACACACCTAAACCAAATATATCAACAGTGTCATATATTTAAATATGGAAGCAGTAATATTTTAAAAAGAATACATTTTAGAAAACCCCATATTTTATAGCCAGAGTTGCAAAAAGAAAAACTAAGTATTATAATTGGTTTTTACATAACTTCAGATATTATGGATCTAAAGTTTAACAAGACTCTGCGCCTATACTTGTTGAGTATAAATTTACTTAAAATTTTTAAAATTGAATGTGTATGAACTTTTAATTATTGAGCTCTAGACAGAGATTGATAGTTTTACCCTTTGTTACTAAAATTAACTGAGATTTGAATAAATGCAATTTTTATAAAATATTTAAATAATTAAATATGCAATTATGTGCCACGAGTCATAATAATGTATGAAATAACAGGATTGTCATCAATTCGGTTCAGCACAAACTGAGTTGGGCTTTGGGCCACCCCTACGGGCCTACGGAGAGTAGACAGTAGACCCTATGAACGGCCCATTACTACGGTACCCACTGACTGCAAAGATCTCAGAGAAGATTGCTAATTAATTCTTGCACGAACTGGGAAAATATTCTGATGTTCTAATAACCGTGCATAAGCTTAGGGACCAGATGAATCTGCTGATCTAAGCCACAGTAAATCTGACGAAACAACAAGCTATCAATCAGGTAAATTATTTTTCGCCAATGCATTATTTTCCGCTTATAGATAATGGATGGGCTCACAGCATGTTTCCTAAATTCCTAAATTTACGGTTTTGTACAAAACTTCTGCATCAGTATCTCTTAGAAATCTATCTAAACAAACTTTCAACTTTTCAATATTTAGTTATTTCATCTCAGCTCTCGAATATTTATCATAACCTTTAGTTTCACCCATAATCCATCATCCACCAGAATTTTGGAGCATACCCCTTAAGATGGAAGTAGAACTGGTCACACCATATTTTCTTATCTCACTTTTCTTTCTTCACAACAAAAGCCAAGCATCAGGAATTATACAACACAACACTCTAGATGAGAAGCTAATTCATGTTACAGTTACACACACCAATGGAAGAGGAAGAGGAAGAAGAAGAAGAAAGAAATATTATTGTGGGGGGAGATCTACAATGCTGTGTATTGTGACTGACCACACCCTGCTAACCTGGGTACCTGTGGCCTCTGCAGAGCACCTAGATATTGTCCTCATTTCATACAGCTCATCCAGCTGCCTGCCTATACAAAACCCTCCGGGGTATCATCTAAATCTTTTGTACTACAACGTGTGTGAGGAGCATAGATCAAGATCACCTCAGGGAGTTCTTCAGGGCGCGCACCGTCATCACCAGCTGCTGCCTCTCGCCTTCGACTTCCGCGAATTTCAGGCTTATCTCCGAGTACCGCCCGTGCAGTTCTTTGAGCTCTTCCTCCAGTGCAGTGTTCCTCTCCTTCAGGATTTCCAGCTCCTTTACCGACTGATCATGAGCTGCATCCCTACATTGATTGATAATTGCCACCGGCAAAGTCTGTCAGCAATGGACCATGTGGTACTGAATTATAGAAAGGTAAAGTTTTGCTATGAGTGTAGATTATACCTCCTGTCATGCCCATTGCAGTCACCATTTGCATTGTGTCTGTTGGTGCTTGGCAGCACGTTACAGCTCCCGGTGGTGCCGTCGTCATGCTTGATGCGCTTAGAAGTAGCATGGTGGTTGTCCTGAAAAAACACAACATTGTGTGTAACTTTCTAGGTACCAAAGCGTATGATTACAATCTAAGCATAGGTATGTAAAGGACAGGCAGCTCAACAAATATATAATATCACATCCTAGTTAGCGGGGACCTCTATTCATAAAGATATCCCCTACCTATCAGAAGGGATCTGTACAACTGAATGGTGAATAAAAACAAATTTATCTCCCCATGTGCAAAAGGATGTAAATCATGAAAAAAATTCTTATAGAAGATAGTCCTACTTATCTGTGGTCACAACTCGCAACTACATGAGTTTTTAAGAGTAGCCCAGCATGCTGACTTCAATACGAAAGGGAAGTTACACCTACTTGTTCAATTGTGTGGTCTTAAGGAATACTTGTATCATTTTCTTCTAACAAGTTTCTGTTAGTTGTGTTTGGAGCAATTCAATTGTCCCTAACAACTTAAACCTGATTTGGTTATAGATATGATGGAGAAAAGCATGGAAGGAATTTCAATGAAGAAACTTAAAAAGGAGAGTTAGAGAACTATTTGTGCTACAGAAATATCTGATTATGCAATATTTACCTCATCTGATTTGACACCATTTTGTTTCACATCCTCCCTGCTTTCAAGGGCTCTCCGAAGCTTCAGCACTTGGGAAGCAAGGTTGTGTTTCTCAGAGTCGTTAGTGGACATCAAAATTTTCAGGTTGTCATACTCGAATTTCAACGATCTAATCTCTGATTGCAGCTTCTCGATCATCTCCTCCTTTTCATTCTTTGAACTTTTTAAAGTGTTTATCTCCTCTAAATATGTCTGCACTTGGTCCTTGATTGAAGCAAGTTCTTTGTTGAGCAAAGCTATCTCAGCATCTCTATCCTGCAAGAACATATCCTTTTGACAATTTGCAGCTAATTCCTTGTCCTTCTGCTCATTCTCTTCGAAGAGATTGTCTCGTTCATTTGACAGATTCTCAATCTTAGCTTTGAGTTGATCTATTTCTTCTGAGAGAACACTTAACTTTGCTTCGTTGCATCTCTTCTGATTCTGGAACTCATCACTCTTGCTTTTAAGCTCCATTACCAGCCTGTCTGTCTCCTTTGACTTGAAATCCACTAAGGTCAGTAACTGTTGAACCTTCACTCGGTGTTGTTCTTGGATTGATCCAAGATCTTCTTGTGCCTTCTGTAGTAATTCTTCCAACTGGCCCTTCTGTAACTGTAGCTCTGCAGCCTCTTTTCTAGCTTGCATAAGCAACTGTTCATTTGCGCTGAAAGCAGAGGAAACTTGTGAAGACAACATCTTGAATTCCTCCTGGAGTCGTTCAGCAGTAGTGGCATTGTTCCATCTTGCTTTCCTCAGGGACTCCTCGGCCTTTATGGCCCTTTGCTCTTGTTCAACCTTTGCACGCATTACCTCTTGTATGTCAGCCTCTAATCTTTTGGATTGTTCCTGGAGTTCATTCTCCAGGCTCTCAACATTGGCTTCAAGATCGCTTATTATAGACAAATGTGCTGAACACTCGTACTGCATCCTTAGCTGCTCCCTCAACTGTGTTTGCTCCAGCCTAGAAGAGATGTCATGGTTCTCTTGCTTCAGGATCTCATAGTCAAGTGCAAGTTGCTCCATTTGCATCTCGAGGTCTTCACGGTCCTTCTTATACAACTCGATTTCATTGCTCAGCTCAACAATTTTATTTTGAAGTTCAGAGGTAGCGATGCCATCGGTTGTCTTTGCCAATGCATCCAGCATCAGCTCATCTTCTTTCTCTTGAACTGAACTTGTTTCAGATATGTCTATTTTGTGTCCAGCATTATGCACATTTGACAATGCTAGCTCATATTCAGCCTCCTGGGGATCCTCCAGTGTTTCTTCATGCAAAAGTGATATCTCCTTGTTCTTCTGCTCCAGCATCTCATCAAGATCCTTCACAGCCAGAAGTAGCTCAGAGTTGGATTCCTGCATTTTCTGCAATTGTAAATGCAGATCTCCATTTAGATTCTTCTCATGGCCCAGTTCTTGCTTTAGCTCTTCAATCTGCGACCACGGGTCTTCCCCGCTTGATAGTCTTTTACCAGATCCGTTTGCATCATGGATAGTCTTTTTCATCCCTCTGAGTGCTTCACATTCTCTTCTGAGAGCATCCCTCTCATCCCTCAAGCTACCCACTTCCTTGGAAAGATCTTGCCCTCGTCGACTCTCCTTCACAATTTGCTTTCTCAGTGTTTGCAACTCCATATCGGAGACATCCAATTTCCGCGTCAAAGTGGCTATCTCACTTCTTAGCTTCTCCACATCATCCTCTGCCTCCCTCAACCCCGCCTCACCGGAGTTGCTGGTTGACCCGTCGGTGCTAGCATCAGGAGCTGAGCTTCCCGACCAGTCACCGGAGCTGGTCAATGTGTTCCTCAGGGGTGAGAGGGTATTGGTGCCCTCCTGAAGAAATGTGCTGTGCATACTTGCATTGTTTTTGGGGGTAAATCTCCCTGAGCTCCCATCTGAACCCGACACCGAAATGGCATCAAAGCTGTTGGAATTGTGAAGGTGATCGACAGGCCCACGCATGTTTCTTCTCGCTGAAAACCTCATCCCAGGAGGTTTGTTTATCACCAATCCGTCCTGTAAAAGAGATCACCACAAAAACAGGCGAAAGTCAGATCCTACATCCATTGTTCAGTGCCAAAATCTCACCCTTCTCAAGCAAAAAGTGAAACGATATGATTAAAGTTCAGCAAGAGAAATTCTGATCTCAAACAGTTCAGCACAAAAAATTCTGATCTCAAACAAAAAATATCACACAGCAACAAAAAAAAAATTAAAACAGTACGATTCAAGTTCAGCAAGAGAAATTCTGATCTCGAACAGTTCAGCATGAAAAATTCTGATCTCAAACAAAAAAGAAAAATCACACATCAACAAAAACTTCCCAAATGATCAATCACAAAAATGTAAGCTCCCTTTCCCCTCTTTTTCTTTTGCAATCTTCTTTGCATGCCAAAAGCCTTCTTTTTTATCCATCACCAAAACGAAACAAAGCAATGCAATGATGATGCACGAAAAAGGAAAAGCTCTCAAGAACACCTCCAATCCTTACTTGCATAGGGCTCATCGCATCCGCCGCCGCCGCCGCCGCCCTCGCCTTCTCCGCCTCCTCGTCCTCGCACCGGCTCAGCTGGCTCTGCAGCGTCTTCCTCGGCGGCGTCCTCGCCACCACCGGCGACACGTCGCCGCCGTTCTCACTGCCACACAGCAAGAACAATCACTCACCTCAAATGCCTAAATCTGGTTGAGCTCAGAGCACAATGCAGCAGCAGCAATGGCGAAATCTGCTGCGGCAGCCGCAGAAGAAGAAGGAGAAGAAGAGATGGTCGAGATTAAACAACCACCAGCAACACACCCACCTGGCGTCGTCACCGCACCCACCGCCGCCGCCGCCACCACCACCCACCACCCGCTGGATGGTCACCTGTCACAGGGTACAAGCACCACCAACATGAGCCCCCCAAGAACCACCGCGAGCGCGTCGCCGTCAAAGCTCACAGGAAAAACAATCGCCGATCCTTTTTAAGGGAGAGAGAGAGAGATTGAGGTGAGATTGGGACGAGGTGCTCACGTGCAGCTGCGCGCCGGGGCTGCCGCTGAGCGGCAGCGTGACGATCCACGGCTTGAACGCGTCGGCGTACTCGGACAGGTTCAGCGTCGCCTCCCCGAGCAGCGCCGCCTTGGTCGAGCCCTGCATTGTGCGGCGGGTGAGACAAATCGTCGAGCACATGACGGGCAAGCGAGAAGCGGGGGGGTGAGTAATGGCGGTGTCGGTGGCGGTGGGCGGTGGCGGCGAGGAGAGGGAACGCACCGTGTCGTAGACGAGGAACTGGTAGATCTTGTCCTTGCCGGAGGAAGGGAGCTTGGTGGCCTCGTAGACCGGGGCGGGCCACTGGCACGCGCCGTCGGCGACCTGCGCGCTCTCCGTCCTCGCCGTCGGCCGGCCCGCGTCCCGCGGCGTCACCACCACCATCATCGCCTCCCATCCCACCTCCGGCACCTGAAATCAACCCACCCAACCAACCCAAATCATCATCACAAAACCAACAAATCAACAACAACAAAAATTCTTCGCTCGTCGCGGCGAGCAAATTAATTATCCGTGCCTGCGTGGCGTGGAACTGCAGCTTGAACACCGCCTTCGCCTTCCCCCCGCCCCCGCCGCCGCCGCGCCACCGCGCCGACTTGAACATCCCGACCAATCAGTCTCAACCAAGAAGAAGGCACAGCTCGCTCGCCTGTGCGGCGCTAAGCTTCTTCTTCACCGGCGGCCGCATTGCAATGCCTCCGCCTCCGCGCGACGCCGTGGCATTGCTAGCTGCTACAGCGAGAGGAGGAAAGACGAAGAGCAAGACAGCGAGCAAGTGAGCGAGTGGGTGGCACACTGACACAGCCAGCAACGGCAAGCAAGGCAAGGCAAAGCAAAACAACGGCAACAGCAAAGCAAGCCACACAGATCTAGTGAGAGAAAGAGAGAGATAGAGAGAGAGAGAGATCAACTGAATTTTCTCTCTCTACTACTACTACTTGAGCTCTGCTTTTGGTCCCTTTCTCTCTTTCTCTCTCTGTGATTTGTGGGGGGGTTTAGGGGGAAGAAGAGAAGAACAAGAAAGAGAAGGTTCTGAGGGCTATAAAAATGGCGGTCAATTGTTCGGGGCGATGGACTAGTAGTAGCAGTAGGGGTTTATTAGAGCTAACAGAGAGTGTGATTGGCGATGGCGATGGCGATGGAGTCTGGTGGAACTGTGCAAGAGACGAGCACACTACTATACACAAAAAAAAACAATCTTTTTTTCAGATATTACACAAAGAAACTTTTTTTTTTTAGAAATATAAGACTAGTCCCAACCCAAAACACTAAGATATAGTTTTTATAAAGTCACACTATCAAGAAACTAGTAATAGACACCACTCTTTCAATGCAAACACCACTTTTTTTTACTTAAATTAAATTTAATGATACTTATCATACATGATGTTTTGAATGTTGTGTGGAAACCATGTCTCAAGCAAGATCTGGTTTCCTTCCCTTTTCTCATTTATTCACTTACGACATCATCTTTTATTTTAGATGACAGCTTATTTAATGCTATAGACATCTCATTAACTTAAAAATGGCCTAATCGTGCAAAAAAAAAAAGATCGATCTTTTCTTCTTCTTTTTTTCCCGAAATCGAGTCTAGTCTCAAGTCTCAACTGCAGTTGCAGTAGTATAGGAGTACAGCCGTTGCGTTGCGTGAGCGTCACAGCTGCAGCGGCTGCGGTCGTCTGCAGCTGCGGGGACCTGCCGACGGCAACGGTTGCTCTGCGTGAAGGGGATCGATGTTGGGTGTTGGGTTCTTGGATCCATCGATTTGTCAGTGGCTTATTGTACTTGCTTGAGACCTAAGCCTCCCCTCCTCTCCTCTTTGGAGTTACTGCCTCCATCTTGTACTAGCATCATCCATTTGTCTAGTAAAAAGTTTGTTTCTGAAGTAAATTATACTGCTCCCAATACGCATTTAATTGAAGTATTCTATCTGTTCAATAAAAAAACAAATCTAGTATGAGATATAACATATACTAATATTACGAATCTTAACAAACCTTGTATCCAAAATTTATAGTTGTCACATCCCGTACTACTAGAAAATCTATCTTATTTCAGCACACTACTAATTTATCCTATTACTACTAGAAGTGGTGTTTTTTTTTGTTGACGGAGTGAGTAGCATGAAATATCTTCTCGCAAATTACTAATGTGTGCTAAGAGCAGGTACAATAGTAGACTATAAGCCAGCTATAAAGAAAGAGAGAGAAGAGCAGTGAGCTACATATCTGTAGCCAGCTGCAGCACGGACTTCAAGACGTAATGTGTGTATGGCAGGTGGGACCAGGTATTAATAGTATAGTAAGCAACTATTGTATGAATTGGCTATTACGTTGGGTATAGATGATTTGGAGCTAGCAGTGGGTTATACTATTAAACTTGTTCTAAGTGTGGTCGATGTTGATGTCAAATCGCAATGGTGTGATCTTGCTGTCATTGGGTGAGATTAGGGGAGGGGAGTTTGGTGGTTGCATTTCATAGGATATCGATGAAACCTTCACGAATCTGTTGAAAATGTGTTGGAGAGTTTTGTAGTTTGTTGCGAGCATTGGAAAGGATTCATTGAGGGTATTAATGTGGAAGTGTAATGGGTAGTCTATGTTTGAGGTCAAAATGTAGTGAAGCATATGATGTCATTGAAGTTTAGAGCGGTGGCAATGATGACATTACTTCTTGTCTTTTTCAATAGAGTACAAAAAACACGTTGAAATATTATTTAATTTAAGAGTGTTATTTAAAGTTGTGTTTTTATCTAATTAATAAAATGGTGGATTAATGCAACACACTTCCCCGAATTTATGGTGAGATTTTTATTAAAATTTTATGCATACAAATTTCTTTAAATAATCATTTAAAATATATTTTCAACTTTGTGATACTTAATTAATTTATATGTATCTTCCTCGAAAAAATTTCATCCATCTTCAATGAATGGAAAAAAAAGGACGATCAAGATAAACTAATCAGTAAATGATGATGTAACAAATATCAAATTAATTACTATGCAGAAGAACTTATCAAACGCATACACGTCCGATTGCAAGCAACACCTCGTACACAAAGCCACGGTCGATGGATGTACATTTCATCGCAGCGTAACCACCTACAAAATGAAATCCCAACAAACACAATTAATTAGTTTCGTATAGACAATCCCCAATCCCAGCAACACCATTAGAGCAAGTTTAATAGTATAGCCAACTACTAACTCCAATTCATCTATAGCCAATCTAGTAGCTCATTTATACAATAGTTACATACTACACTATTAATACATGATCCCACATATCATATATACACTGCGTCTTAGAGTCTGTGCTACAGCTGGCTACAAATCTGTAGTCCGCTGCTCTTCCCTCTCTTTATTTATCTCCTTATAGCTAACTTATAGCCTTCTATTGTACCTGCTCTTACACCACCAATGACCCATCCAACCGTGCATGCTCCCCAAATTCTGGAGGCAATGGAGCATGGTGGAACCATGCAGCCAGCCATGGCAAGCAGGCAAAAGCACAACGATGATGCTTACAACTCGACAAGAACAATTCAAACGAGGACGAGAAATGGTGCACGTACGATGGGTCAGATCATGGGTAGGAAGGATTTCAGGTGAGCCTAGCTGTGCTTGTCCATGCCGGCCTTCGCTGGTTGTGTCATTGTGTGACCTCACCTCACCTGAATTCTTTTCTGATTCAGGCAAATTCTACCTTTGGTTTTCATTAAAACGTTGTGTTTTATGTGAAGTTTTCCTATAAAAAAGTTACTCTAAAATATCAAATAAATCTGCTTTTTTATAATTTGTAATAATTAAAACTCAATTAACTATATAATGATAACTTTCTTACTCCCTCTGTAGTAAAAATACAAGGGATTTTTGGTGGATGTAACGCATCCTAGTACTACGAATCCGAACAGATAGTATTAGGATGTGTTAAATTCACCTAAAATCTCTTACGGAGTATATTTTAGAACGGATGGAGTATTTTATTCGCCCTGCTACTACTTAGGGCATCTTTTGCCGGGGGCCGGTTGTGTGGCTGACAGGTGGGTCTCACGCGGCAGCCCCGGCATGGTGCCTGGGGGGCCTTGGCGCATGTGGAGGTTGCTCTGCACTGATCTACTCCTATCCATCCATCCGTCGCCTTTTACAACGCGATCGGCGTGCATTGCTTTTTTGTGTTTTTTCGTCGTGCTTTTGCTGGCAACCAACCTCAGCAAGTTATTTCATCCATCCATCCATCCATCCCGAATGTGATCTGCTTTGATGAACACAGCAACAGCACGTATACCCAAAAAAGGGAAAGGTATTCTTACACATGTACACACATGGTGCGTATGTACATCTAAAGAAGGAGCATATATCCAAACAGCTAGTATCTACTACTATCTAGTACATTGCTCAAACAGAGTAGTGGTACTAGTGTACTATATATACCGGTGGTTTTTTCCTACTTGTATATACATCGTACACATGGTTACTTGAATAATCATATGATATCAACCATAAATTAGTGTATTATTGATATAATTAGCTCTCCGTTCTTTGTTGGTGGTTAATTGTACTAATTGATATATGAATGAAATGGACAAATAGCAGAAAGTTATTCTTGCAACTCTAGTTACAAAATAACAAAGGACATTTTATTCTTCCTTCAAAACGGTGAAAGCTGGCACAGTTTTTCGAGAAGGATATTTTTTTAGCCGGGCTCTATATCTAACCGGATATATGCAGCCATTTTAATCATGAACTTAACCTATCGAATAGGAAACTTAGCCCTCAAATAACTCAATCTGAAATTCACTCCTATGAAGATTTGAACTCAGGACCTTGGGTGCTACTCATGTCACTGCAACCACTAGGCTACATGCCATTTCACGCACAGTTTTTCTTATAAACACGATCACTATAGTTAGGCTCACCTAAGTTCAGAACATTTAATTTATACTGTTAAACGTAGAAATGCCTATACCATGTAGTAAAATAACCTATGATTGACTTATAAAGATATAACATAAAGAAGAATAATGTACTAGATATTTTTAAATGTTTTGTGCTAGCTAACAGAAACTAAAAGGTTGAGAGTAGTTGCAGCACAATTTGTAGCTGATTATTATAGAAAAAGAGTGGTTCTCCCTCCAATGTAATGCTTATGTGCTAGTATATATATTACTAGTTTTCTATTTAGTCGGTGATGCAGTCGTGCATCATGCAAACTCATCTCCAACCATCTATTATGTATTTTCTTTTGTTCCACTTTTTATAAGAGCCATCAGTTTATTTTGACTTTTGAGCTAGCTTCTCCAGAAAAATCCAATAATCTTTTTTCCCTGATCTAAATATGGGGCCCCTGCATTTTTTCTGATATAAACAACATCCTAGTTACTGAAACTGTCGGTGCGTAGCTGATGTGCTTTCTTCATGTACACTTAGCTTAATCAGGCCACTAATTAATTGACTGAACACCTTTGACTACTATACAACACAGTCTCTCTCTCACACACACACTGTACTTGCTTCATCCACAAACAAGAGATATATTCTATAGGTGTGCACAGTCGTATATAGAATCATATAAAAATCATACGTGTAGAGATTTGTCTCTCGAGGAATTATTTTAAATGACAGTAGCACAATGCAAATTAGTAGGTCTAAACAGTACATGAATTTGGTTAATGCCAGCTGTTTGGAGATGTATATATAACCTAATTAAATTTTGGCTAATCATTTACTTATTGTGAGAGGGAGCAGTACTGAAAACCAGCTCAAATATATTGATTGATTGGGGCTAGGCAAACCAACCATATGGGGACCTAACTAATCCAATCTTAGGTTAGCGTAAGAAGATTATAAAAAAAAATAATTGTGAAAGGGAAAGACCAATAGGTATGACTCGACTGGGAATCCTGTAGCATCTACAGAGTTAATAGTTTTTTAATTAAAAAAATGTGTGCAACTCTCACTCATAAGTGGCCCCAGCACATTCTTGATATGTTTAAGCTAGTTATGGCAACAAAATAGCTGCACTTGCCATCACCGTTGATTAATGTACTGTCCATTGGAAAAACACTGATTACATAC